CAAAAACAAAAACAAAAATCAAAGGCATTCCTGCACACAAATAACAAACTGACTGAAAGAAATTAAGGAAACCACCCCTTTCATAATAGCATCCAAAAAAATGAAATATCCAAAGTTTTTTTGTTTTTGTGGTACCAGGGATTGAACTTAGGACCTTGCGCTTCTGAGGCAGGCATAGTGCCTGGCCCACTCAAAGTTTTCATATAGAGAGCGGGGAAGGGGCTCGGGGGGAGATGGGATAAAATAAAATTTATAAAGAAAAAAACCCCCAGAGGGTTGGGGATTTGGCTCAGTGGTTCTGCTACCTGCTGCACAAAGGCCTGAATTTGATCCCCAGTACAAACAAAACAAAACAAAACACCCTAGGAATCAATCTAAAGAAGAAGGTAAAAGACCACTACACTGAAGATGATAGTACCCTTATAAAGGAGATCAAAGAGGATATCAGAAAATGGAAAGATATCCCTTGTTTTTGGGTAGGAAGAACTAATATAGAGAAAATGGTCATACTTCCAAAATTGTACACAGATTTCATGCAATCTCAATCAAAATTCCAACAGCATATCTCACAGAATCAGAAAAAAACAATACTGGAGTTCATTTGGAACCAAGCAAGACCTAGAAGGGCAAAGGCAACAAAGGCAAGGCAGGGGCATCACAATTCCCGACTTGAAACTATACTACAAAGCTACTGTGATAAAAACAGCACAGTAATGGCCAAAAAAACAGGCCTAAGGATCGATAGAACAGGTTAGAAGACACAGAAACAACTCCAGACATACCCAGCCACTTTATTCTTGACAAAAGTTAAACACCTTCACTGGAAGAAAGATAATCTCTTTAATAAATGGCTTTCTACTTACCAAAGATTACAACTAGACCCATATCTTTCACCATGCACTAAACTAAAATCGATATGGATCAAAGATCTAAATATTAAAACAAAAACATTAAATCTGCTGGAAGATAGAATAGGTATACCTTTGAAGACACTGGTATAGACAAAGTCTTTATGAACAAAACCCTGATCACACAGGAACTATCACAAAGAATCAAGAACTGGATCTTATCTTATTAAAAAGCTTTTGCATAGAAAAAAAAAAAAAATTTGCCAGTGGAGTAAAGAGACAATCTACAGTTTGGGAAAAAATTTGTCAGCTGTTCAAGGGACTACTCTCTCCATAAGCTGGGCGTGGTGGCTCATGCCTGTAATCCCAGCACTCTGGAAACTGAGGCAGGAGGATCACTATGAGTTCAAGACCAGCCTGGGCTCCATAGTGAGTTCCAGGTCAGTTTCAACTACATAGTAAGATCCTATCTCAAAAAAGCAAAACAAACAAAGGACTAATATCTCAAATATATAAAAAAGTAAAAGAAAAAAAGAACCTCAAGTATAAAGGCCCACTCCAAAAATGGATATACATTTCTCAGATGGAGAAGTAGAAACAGCAGATTATCATTATGAAAATAAGTTTGTTATTGGGCCGGGGATTTAGCTCAGTGGTTCTGCCGCCTGCCTTGCAAGTGCAAGGGCCTGAGTTCGCTATCTGGTACCAAAACAAACAAAAAACCCAACAACAACAACAAAAAACCCAAAAAAAACAAAACAAAAAAAAACAAAACAAAAAACATTCACAATCACTGGTCATTCAAGAGATACAAATTAAAACAATGCTGAGATTCCATCTCACTCCAAAAAGAACGGCTGTTACGTGTTTTTTTTTTTTGGTACCAGGGATCAAACTTGGGACCTTGTGCTTGTGGGGCAGGTGGTGGAACCACTCAGCTAAATCCCTGGCCCTAAGAATGGCTGTTAACAAGAAATCAACCAATAACAAATGCTGGCAGGGTGTGGTGGCTCGTGTCTGTAATCCCAGCACTCGGGAGGCTGAGGCAGGAGGATCGCTGTGAGTTCGAGACCAGCCTGGGCTACACAGTGAGTTCCAGGTCAGTGTCAAATACATAGTGAGACCCTGTCTCAAAAAACCATAAATAAATAAGTAAACAAACAAACAAATGCTAGAGGAGATGTGGAGAAAAAGGAACCCTTCTCCACTTTTGGTGGGAGTATAGACTGGTGCAACCACTGGGGAAATCAGTGTGGAGATTCCTCAAAAAAGTAAAATTAGAGGTTCCATTTGGCCCACTTATTCCCCTTCTTATATCTTCCCGAATCACAAGCATTATACCACAGTGATATATGCACACCTATTTGTGTGTGTGTGTGTGTGTGTGTGTGTGTGTGCTTGTGAGGCAGGTGGCTGAACCACTGAGCTAAATCCCCAGCCCTTATGCACACCTACATTTATAGTGGCAGTTTATAATAGCTAAATCTTGGAAACAGCCCAAATGCCCGTCAACAAATGCATGAAGATGTATTTTTAAAAATACAATGGAGTATACAATCTGACATAAAGACTAGCTTCAGACATTTCTAGGTAAATGGATGTAACTTGAGACCACTTTTTTTGCGGGGGATACTGGGGATCAAACTTGGGACCTTTCACTTGCGAAGCAGTTCCACTGAGCTAGATCTCTGGCCTGAGACCACACGCTTAAGTGAAATAAACTGGACACAGATGTTTAAATACTGCGTCATTTTCTGGTGTGAAAATCCGAGTATGGAAATAAGGACTAAAATTCATAACAGATATTGAGAAATGGGAAGAAAATATTTAAACAAGAAAGGGAAAAAGGGATGAGGAGAGGAGAAGGAACAAGAGAAAAACAAAATAGAAGGAAAAAAATGGAAAGTTTTTGTATATAAGGAGGGGAAGACCAGTCAAAGGGATATGGGGGGAATGGTAAGAAAATAAGATATATCATGTATAGGTACAAATTCCCTACAACAAATGTGAGCATTATGCGTATTTAAAATGTACCAATAAATGTTTTGCTTAAAAAACAAAAAACCCAGAAAAAATTAGTCTTGTCTAGTATCACTCTTCTGGGCAGGATGACAAATTGTAAGAGTAGTAAAAGAGCAATGTGATCTACTGAGCCACTAAACTCATAGCAGACCAACTCTCACTTACTATCGTACTCGGGGACCATCAGTGGCTTCACTCATAGCCACATCTCCATCATCTTCTTCAAGCCGGGAAGACCGAATATTTGAACCGCCTCTTCCAGACCGACGGTTCCCATCACCATACTTCCACCGGAAAGGACCCCGGCCTTTCTTTCTTCTTTGAGGGAAGCTAACACGATCATCATGCTCTGGAGGAGAAATAGGTACCCAAATCAGTACATTCATCACTGATGTAGCTAACTTCTTATGGCCAGTATTTTTTAGTACCCTAAGCTACCAAAAGAGATACATACTAATACAGAAGCCACCTCTATGCAATGCAACAGATCTGCCTTTCTGGAGAAAACAACTTTCTCTGGGATGAAACCAACAGAGAAAAGTGCCTGGAAAACTGTGCAGGGCTTTTGATTTGTTTTTGTTTTGTTTTTTTGAGACAGGATCTCACTATGTGGTTGAGACTTAACTGGAACTCACTATGTAGCCCAGGCTGGTCTCAAACTCACAGTGTTCCTTCTGCATCAGCCTCCCGAGTGCTGGGATTACAGGCGTGCGCCACCACGCCCGGCCTGTGCAGGGCTTTAGAAAAATGAAACAGACAGGAACCATGAAGAGAAGCAGACTGTATAAGTGTGAGCAACCCAAAATGTAACTGGTCACAAAACAGACCCCTGAAAGCTACCACTCAGGATTCTTTCTCTACAGTGCAAATGCCAGTGACAAATATAACTACTCTAAGGAGTCCCTAAAGAAATTTACTTGATCTCAAACTGCCACCCTGCAGTTTGTGAAATGCTTTGTTTTCTTAAGCAGAAATGCCCTTTAACTTGCAAGAGAAAACAGACTCAGAATCTGGTGGCAGTTTTGTATTATGGTACTGTACTAAGAAGGGTCCAGTAATTCACTCCAAGAATGTGACCTGACTCCTGCTGTGCAGAAACAGGTTCTGACTTTTTTTTTGGACAAGGTCTATGCAGTCTCTGCTGGTTTTCAACTCACCAACCCCTTGCCTCAGCCTCCTGAGTGCCAGGATTACAGGTGTGTGTCTAAGAGAAGTCTACCAAGCCTGATGTGGTGCAAGCCTGTAACGCCAGCAGTGGCAGAGGCTGAAATGGGACGAATGCAAGTTCAAGCCTAACCTGGGCAACTCAGCGATTTAACAAGGGCCCTGTCTCAAAAAATGGCTTGGGGATGTAACTCAGTGTGAATGCCCTAGGCCAGCAAAGGTGGCACAAACCTATGTAAAATCCCAGTTCTCTGGGAGGCTGAGGCAGGAAGATATCAAGTTCGAGCCCTGCCTCGGTAACTTCGTGAGAACCTGTCTCAAAAAAATAAAAAGCTGGGATGTAGCTCAGCGGAGTGCTCGCCTAACAGCCATGAGGCTCTGGGTTTAGACTCTAGTATCGCACACACACAAAAAGTTCACGGGGCTGAGGATCTAGCTCAGTGGTAGAGCTTGCAGGCCCCAACACAAATTTAGTTCTAAAAAGCCCACGACTTCCACAGACGCCTGAGTCCCTGGCACGGACCTCAACTGTCCCGAGGCAGAAGACACAAGTAGGAGCCCGGGCTGAGCTCAGGGTGACAAGCACTCGCCTCCACCAACCTCGGGGACACCAGGCCGCAGGGTCCGCTCCCAGCGCCGCCCCCGCAGCCTCCGTCACCAGTTCACGGCCCAGGACTGCCCTTCGACGACCCGCCCGGTTCTCGCGGTGTCCCGCCGCCCAACACTGACCATTGTATGACTTCCCCTCGTCCGCCATAGCAGCGTAGAGCGCGGCCAGGCTCGCCTTCGGTGGCTCCTCAATCGCCCGCCACTAACGCGCGGAAGACGCTAGCAAAGAACGCCCGGTTCTGCTGCTTTCATCTCCGAGGAGCTGCGCGCGCAGCCGACGTCGCCGCTGGTAGGCGGAGCCAGCCCTCTTGCGCATGCGCAGCCACATATCGGGACACCAGTAGGCCCCAAAGAGGGGGCCAAACAGCGCATGCGCACATGTCAGTACTGCCCTGGGACATTTGCAGCGCCTTAGGGCCGGGAGGTGCAGTGGGGGACGCCGAGGCAAGGAATGCATGGGCCGGGTCCCAGGTGTTGCTGTCTTCGCCATGGATTATGAGAAAATAGAAAACTAGAACGACAACGGGCACAGTGAATATTATCTGTAATTCCAGCAGGTGGGAGGCCGAGGGAGAAGCACCGCCAATTCCGAGGCCAGATTGGGCAATTTATACACTCAAAAATACAAAAACGTGGAAGGCCGAGGCAGGAGGATCGCTGCGAGCGAAAACAGCCTGGGCTCCATATGAGCTCAAAACCAGCCTGAATTAGAGAGACCCTGTCTCATAAAACAACAAAAAGCGTTTGTTCTTTAAAGTGGAAAGAGCGGCCCTGGGTTCCATCCCCTGGGGCAGCAGAAACCTTAACTCCAAGCTTTTTGTCTTCTAGCTTTCAGCTCGGTAAGGCTGATACGTTTAAACTTACCAAGTATTTGTGAAATAAGTGGTTTCTGCCCCAAGAACATCCTCCACACCCGAGTTGAGGCTGCCAGGTGCCCTGCCCCACCAACTACAGTCCCACCATGTCAGGCACTACCTGTCACCTGCACACCAGGGCCACACCCCAACCATCCTCAACCACCCTAATGTGCTGCAGCCTCCACTGCTGGAATTCCCTCTTCCGGCTGTGAGCTGGAGGCTCAGAGACCTCAGGGTACAGTCGCAGGTTGTGCTCCAGAAGGACAGGGCCACACAATAATCCTCCCCACCCAGAGCTGGCAGAGGAGGAGCAGGGACCTCAGGATCCAGATGAAGTAAGTCCAACTGCTTGAGCAGGTCCTGGAAGTTGTATCAGGGCCCTCGGCCCAGGCTTCTCACAGGGCTTTCAGGCCTGAGGTGCTGCCTGTTAGGTTCCTCCTGCCAGGGTCAGCTGTGCAACCTCACAACAGTAGGGTCCACAGGGCCCTGCTATCCCCAGGAACGACAGTACAGCTCTGAGGCTGACAGTCTTCTGTAATTGGGAGGAGCCTGGCAGCAGCATGGCGGTCTGAGTCACACCGGCCAGTGGGTGCCGGGTTGCGCAGGCAGCGAGGGCTCAGGGCCCCCTGCCTCAGTGGTGAGGAGAGGAAGGAGGAACTCAAGTTCTAACCCAGATGGGGAAGTTGGTCCTTGGGGCATTTCACTTCCTCTCCTCATTCCAGAAGACAGCAAGGGGCATCATCGCCCCCACTTCCCGTTTCTTCTTGGAGAGGTGTGGAGGGTTTATAAAAATCTCCCAGTGGAGACAGAGCCCCCTCCGTTCCAGCCAGCACAGTAGAATCCAGACCCAGAACCATGTGCTTCCTGGGCCTGAGGGTGGCAAGGGAGGACCTCCCAGTAGCTACAGACTGCAGGCATGGGGTGGGGTCAGGGCTGGTGGCTGCCCGGAGCAGTTCTAGGGAGACAGGGCCTTCTCCACAGCACCCCACACAGGCTCAGTGGCAGTTCCGCCACCTGCTATCGCCAGAAGGTCCCAGCCCCATGCACCACTTTGCAGTGCACAGGAGTCAGGCCAGGAAGACCACGAAGATGATGAAGAAGACGATGAGGATGAGAAAGATTTTGACCATGAGCCACCGATTGGAGGTGACTGACTGGAAGTACTTGAGGATCTCGGAGTGAGCAGCCTCGACGTCCAGCTGAGCTCCCAGCACATTCTCATCGATCCTGGGGATGGGGAGGGGGCAAAAGAAGGACACTTGATTAAATAGAAGGCTGATGTCACAGAACTGGCTTCAACAGATGGCCACAGAGTGTCCATGGACTCAGGATACACTTTGGGATTCATATTTGGGTACAGAAAAGGCTCTTGAAGAGTAATACAAATAGCTTTAGTTTTAAAACAAACTCTGCCACTTATTAGTTTGACTATAAATTATTTAACGTCGAATCTCACTTTCTTCATCTGACCTGCATCTTCTCAGGCTGTTGTCAGCCCCTAACTAATATGAGCCTCCCAAGGATTACTGTAATTTTTGCTCAGCAGTATTTACTGATTTTGTTGAATGAACATGTAGTACCTTTGTAATGGGAAAAGTCACAGACTATTAGAAAACCCTGGTTCTAAGCAAGAGAAGAAAAATGTAATGACACAGGATGTCAGAGATAGGAAGACCCCAACATTAGGCTATGGGCCACTGGAATCAAAATTCTCAAGTTAGGATGATCTTGAGAGGTTACTGAGGAAAGAACACATCCCAGCCACCTTGCATGTGTGATCCTAGAAGCCAACACGGCTGTGTCTGAGCCCTGGCCCTCAGCTTCCTCCTGGAGGCTTGGCTGCAGAGCCAGGGTTTGCTGTACCAGCAACTGTGTCTGAGGCAAGGCTCTAACTGCATCCTGTGTTAATCTCTGGGGAGCTGTAAATTGCTGCCATTACTTGGGGGAGGGGACTTAGGAGGTGAGGCCTTGTTGGAACAGGCAGGTTACTGGGGCCCTCTGAAGACCATCTTGTCCATGGCCCCGGCCCCCTCCACTCTGGCTCTACTGTGTGTGTGTGTGT